GAGAATTTAATRTTTAGTTGACTTTTTGTTAGTTAAAAAATTTAAAAAAAAAAGTAAAAGAAAATTAATTTATATAATAATTAAAATATAATAGATGCATATGTTTAGTGACTTAGACTATTGATTGATGCATTATAAATAAAATTATATGATATCTATGCATCTTGATATATTAATTATAATATATTTCTTCATATATATCACTAAAATATACGTTTTCTATGTATTTATATACTATTTGTGATTATTTTGATCTTAAATTTAATGATATTATTGTATTTATGGAATTTGTATGTATTTTCCTAACATATTCACGCATTTTCATATTTTTTGTCCGTATCCATGCATTTCAAAAGCGTATTTGTATTTGAGTTGTTCGATACAATACCTGATACCGATACTTTAATCATTGGTTGGATTAAATTTTCAGCATCTGAAATTCAATAATTTTACTATTTTACCCATAAATTAGACTATTCGGTTGCAGTGGCAAGAGAAGAAGAAGAGAGAGAGAGAGAGAGAAAGAAAGAGAGAGAGAGAGAGAGAATGTTAGAACTCGCCGCTGCCGGTTCGTTGGAGGAGTTGCAACGGCGAGAGAAATAAGAAGAAAGGAGAGAGATCTAGAGAGAGGTGGGAGTTCAAGGGTATTTTGGACTTTTGGTCAGGTCTGGAACGTATTTGAAGGCATTCAACACCTAACCCATGTCTTATTATTTCAAACCTGAAAATGATTTCAGACGTCTGAATTAAAAGAAAATTGAAGAGCTAGTAAGCTTATACTCTCTAGCACGATTGGTAGCTGCTGGCCGTCCGATTTGCTTTTTTTGCGTGGATCATGACTCCTTGTTTTGGAAGTTTCAATACGTTCAAAATTAAAAGCTCTTTGTGGAAGTACCAAACTGTATAAGACATTTCTTGGTGTGTTTGGCGCAATGTACAGGAAGATTGTCCTCCATTCTGGAAACTCTAAATAAATCCATGCGACATTTCTCTCTCACTTTCTTTTGCAGTCGCAATTTGGGGCATTGAACTACCCTATCGTTACTTTAATTTGTTTCTACTGCACTCTATTCTCTCTCTCTATTGGAATTTTATTGAAAGCTCATCTACCTTCTTCCCTAGGAAAGAGAAAAAAAAATGCACATTTTCATTTGATGTTTGTTGTTTATGCTACAAACAAGGCAACAAGAAGGGCAACTGCCTGCTAATGAGAGAGGGTTCGAGTAGGGCAACTGCCAACTGGGTGGAGCGTCCCCGATTCATTGTCTCCTCTTAGCTTCTTTCTATTAGAATTACAAACTTCACCCTATTTTCCTGTTTTCAATGGTTTATTTTGCGTCAGGCCGTCAGTGCAATAAGGTGAAGGAAAATCGTTGGTTTACTAGTAGAATGATTGTAAGTTGTGTGAAAATTCAGGTTTTGATGAGTTGCTTTGCTAAGAAGTATCGGGTAATTTAGTAAGCTTATACTCACTAAGTCACTAGCATGATCGGTAGCTGCTGCTGAAGTTGATCCCGTTTTCGTTGAAACTCCGTTTGCATTATCCAAACCAACGTTTTAAAAAATGACCCGGAAACGGAACTGTTCTGCCATCGGTTTCCGGGTCAATAGTCTGGTTGTTCAGTTCGAATAAATAGCCCGTTCTAACAGTAAAATTAAAAAATAATTAAAAAAAACAGTAAAAAACCATTGAATGGGTCAATGAGTTGATAGTTCGATCGCCCGGGTCAACGGTTTGTTGACTTTTTCAACGGTTTTTTACTAGATGTCGGGTTTGAGGTAAAATGGAACCGGTTGCCTGGACGGTTCCTAAGCCGAATGGTCTGACTGTCTGGGTCAACGGCAGTTCAAAAACGTTGATCCAAACTAAAAAAGTAGATTGTCGATACTTAGATACAAGAAAACTTTGGTTGATTACAAACGGAGAAAACTAAACAAGAAAATTAGGGAAAATTGGAATTGATTCGAATTGTGGAAAACAAAGGAATGGCGACAAGAAAATTATATGGCATTTAAAGGGCATTTGTGTCATTTCACATGCCATTTAACGTCTGTTAATGATTTTAGACTAAATTGATAGTTTTAAAAAGTTTGTGTACTGCATTCATGGTTTTCAAAACCGGATCGGACTAGACGGTCGGACAGGAAAAACCGGTAACAAGTCAGCCCCCGGTGTCTGGTTTTACTAAAAACTGGAAATTGTTAAAAAACGTTGAAAAGGTCAGAAAATCACTAACCCAGGCGGTCGGACTGCTAAACCGGTTGACCCGAGTAGCGGTTCGCGGGTTTGTATTTTTATTTTCAATGTTTTAAATAAAAATAAATAAATAAAATACCTAGTATATCCCCAACCCAGTTCGAATCCCTTACTCCCTTTAGCTTTAGGGTTAGAACTTCTAACCCTTCCCGAGTTCCCTCCTCTCAACCCTCACACCTTACCGACCAACTACCTATGACGGCCAGCACCTCTGGCGTCCGACGGTGACACACACCGACTGACAACAACCGGTGAGCTTGCAGCGATGAAAAGATTCACCCTCACCAACACTTGCAGTGGTGCCCGACGAAAAGACTCACCCTCTCCAACACTTGTAGCAGCGTCCAACGGCGAAAAGACTCACCAGCACTTGCAGGCTTGCAGCGGCAACTTGCAGTCTAAACCCAAGCTTTTTTGGAAAATTTTCTATATTTTTTGGAAAATTTTCTATATATATTTTTTATTTTTATATTTAGATATTTTTATTTTTTTCATATGTTGTTCTTTTTCCTATATTTTCTGTGTATATTTTATATTTTATTTAAATTTCTATGGTATCTTTTATTATATATAAATATTTTTTATTTTTTTATTTATTTATAACATCACGGGTCGAATCGCCAAACCGAAAAATGGTGCCCTAACCGGTTCGTTCTCCGGGTCGATTTTAAAAACCTTGACTGCATTGACACATTTTAAAATTCGGATAATAAACTTAAATTTTCCCAATTTATAAAGAGATTAAGGTTTTACATTCAAATTATTTCTATCATACTTTATTACTTTACCTATAGTATATAAAGCTTTTCTATATATTAAAACAAAACACGCTAGGTCATTAAGTCTTTCCTTTCCCAAAACCTCTTCCTCTCCTTAGAAAATCATGGACAGCTTTTTCCAAGGAGATACATTTTCTATTCCAATACCTCTTCCTTCTATTTCCTCTTCCTAATGAGAAAAAAAAATACTAAAGTTTATGGATGGACTCAACAATAAAAACCCCTTTTTTACTGCCTTTATATGTTTTTATATTGGATATCAAAGGTTTGTAGTAATGAATAGAAACCGTTCAAATCCTTGATGCACATTGTCATCTCTGAGTATCAACTTCACTATCAAATGGAACCAAGTGAACAGTGAAGGAGGAGGATCTTTGGGTCTCAATTTCACTAGCCACTTTCTTTGTGGTATCTTTTTAACGAGAATAGGAGTCTGGGATCAAAATTGGAATGTGATTTTGATTCCTGTTTCTAGTAGAATGACATTCCCCCATTTGAGGAAATGGCTATTCTATCCTCCCACTCCTAGGAATGAGAATCTCATTTCAACGAACAGAAAGAAAGTGATGAGAAACAAGTGACTTAAACCCTCCAAACCTTATTTTTCTTTACTTAGATGCTAACTCTCTTTATGAGTTGTACATATCTTATGAAATCTAATTCTAATTCCTATAACCAGACACGTAGGGAAAATAGGTGATTCCAAATTCAACCACAAAATCAAACGGACCTTGAATATTAACAAGCTAATTGTAAACCTGGATTAGCTGCACTTGATGGCTGCGTGGCGGTTATTTAATCAATAATAAGAGATAGGAATAGCTGAACTTGATAGTGGTGTTTGCGTAGGTGCAGGACCAATCATTTTTCTCCACAACAGCCTATGGCCCACAACCACTCTATCTCTCACTTGCATTTGTGTCTGTCATAGAGAAAAATGGTTGGTCCCACAATTTGGAAAACAACTATCAAGTTTAGCTAATTTGTTCTCCAATAATAGTGCTTCACTCCACCTACACAACCATCAAGGGAAAAAATCGAGATTTGCTCCTAATAGAGCCCACATTACACTGATTCAAGGTTCAAAGTATGGACATATATCAGCCGATACGTATCGTTTTGGGACCCCTTCAATATGCCCCTATAGTGGGTGTATCGGGGGTCTGACCGGTTCAGGGGATAGAGGAGACCTAAACCGGCCCCCTGAACCGGTTTCAGAAAAAAAATAAAAAAAAAAACTAAAAAAAACAGCATCGATTCGCCTGATACGCCCACATATCAATATTTTGAACCTTGCACCGACCTCACAGCCCATTCCACAGTGTATTGAGAACATCCCCCCATGAACAATAACACAAAGTATGGGAGATGTTTCCATTTTCCAATGTGCAACTGGAATAAGTTGTGAGATTGGTTTGAAGCTCTGTGAGGAGCAGATCTGGACTCCAAGGGAAAATGGGTTTTTTGAATGTTTGTAATGCATTACACATTATCATGGAGGACGTGGGGTAAAAGAGTATTTACAATCAATATAGGACAAATAAAAAAATTGAGTGGAGCCTGCACAAAAAGCTCCCAAAACAACCCAAGTTGATCCTTCCGAACAGCTACAGTTTGCTTACCTCTCATCACTTGTCCTGTGTAATAACTTTAGGGAAAATTTCTGATAGATATACTCTATACTTTAGGTTGAATGCTAATTTAATATCCAAACTTTAAAATGTGACAATCTAGTATTCGAACTTTCAAAATGTGATAATTTAGCACCTACCATCAGTTATGTATATCACGTTACCTCATGTGTTATTTAAGACTTTTGAAAATGACAAAATTATCCTTAAAATAAAACACATTGTTCATTATCTTCTTGAAACAGAGCCCAAACTCTCAACAATCCAGACCATACGCTAAACGACAGATATTGTTGTGAGCGCTGCATTGCATCCCTTTAATTATCGTCGGTAATGGCTCCAATTGCCTTTTTCGATGATTCTGGGTTTGAAGGTTGTGTTATTCTGAACCGGATTGACTTCCTAGAGAGGATCAAACCCGGCGTCTACAGAATGGGAAGTGGTTACCTGTTCAATCGGTTAGGCGTGCAGTGCACTAATGAAGGATTTTCTGGTCTTGAATTTGCTTCTGGGATTCCTGGGACCGTAGGTGGAGTTGTTTACATGAACGTTGGAGACAATGGACAGGTAATCCTTCTCCGACCTGCTTGGAATTGTTTGTCAAGAAACCACACCAGTGAGGGTCTATGATCTTTTATATGTTTATTATATAGGAGATTGTCGATGCCATTGATACAATTGAGATTGTTACAGTGGATGGGAGGCATCAAATTTTGTACAGAAGTGATCTTGCCTTTGGGTACCGCATGTCACCCTTTCAAGCGATGCAAGATTTGACAGCAATTGTGGCTGTAACATTTCATCTGTTGCCTTCAGCATCAACAAAGGAGCATCAACAAGCATATTTGAAGAAGTAACAAGGATTTCAAATTTTGCTTCTTGAATTCTTCATTGTTCTCCTCAGAGATGCCAATGGGATATGGTTTTATTTACAGGAGGCGATGGTCTTAGCCTGTGCTGGAACGAATTGCTGGATCGGTGTTCAAAAATCCTCCTGGCATGGGAGTTTCAACAGGGGAGCTTATTGAGAAGGCTGGACTGAAAGGCTTCAGAGTCGGCAGTGCAGAGGTTTCCAAAGTTCATGCTAACTTTTTCATCAATACCGACAGCTCAAATTCCCGAGAGATGCTTGAATTCATTGGCTTGGTTAAGGCAAAAGTTAAAAAGGAATTTGGAATACAACTCCAAGAAGAAATACAATATGTTGGTCCATTCTGTAAATATTAAAGGATAAATTAGAGATTTGTTGATAAATCAGAGAGAGAAGAATCACAGAAAGCTTACCAGCTCAGCTTTAGGTGCCAGAACCATGAGGGTATAAAATGGCAAAACGACAACTGTTCCCATTGAGAGGAAAAAAAAGGAAGGAAGAATAATGGCCGTGGTGAGCACTATGCACTGCCGCTGTTCGAGAGCTTGAAGAGGATGAACAGTGGCGGTGAACAGTAGTTTAGGCCAACGAGAAACATTGAGTCATCAGTCTTTGAGTTAAACGCATCTCAGCACTCATCAATCTTCGAAGGAAAAAACCAAGAAGGGCATTTCTTACACAGTTGTTGCTGATGGTTGATAAAGAAAATTAGATGACACTTGAAGAGCATTTATGTCTTTTTCCATTATACTTAACGGCTGGTTAAAGGTAGGTACTAAATTGTCGCATTTTGGAAGTTCGGGTACTAAATTGTCACTCAACTTAAAGTACAGGTAGGGGTGGATACGAGCCGAGTCAAGCCGAATATTTGACTATTCGAGCTCAACTCTACAATAAAATATCAAGCTTGAATTCAGGCTTGAGCTCGATTCTAACTAGAAATATCAGTTCGAATTTGGCTCGAATAAAAAACACTTGTATTCGAGCTTGGTTCGGCTCGAGCTTGAAATGAACTGAGCCTACTCGAGCTCGAATCCAAGCTTACCCGAGCTCGAATACTATGTTTTAGTCTGTAGTCTGGGAACTAAATACTAAAAATTACAGAGGAATCTGTGAAATGAACCGAAATCCCTGTAGAACCCATAAGAATTACAGAAGAATCTATAAGATGAATGGTTGAACCTAAAGGCCCTAAACTAAAAATTACAGATTTCAAATACCTTTTTAATGGTGTGGATGCAACTTGCAAGAAGAAGAAGAAGGAGGAGGAGGAGGAGGAGGAGGAGGAGGAGACCTGGAATCGTAGAGTTGCAAACAATAGGTAATCAATCCTCTTCGGTGGCGGCATCTTCACATGTTGCACACTCGCACAGTCGCACTTGCTCTCTGCTCGTCTGTGAGATTGTGACTTTTTGTGTTCTCAATCTTCTCTTCTCACTTCTCAAGTTCTCAAACTAGTTCGGCAGTTCATGATTCAATCGAATGTTATGAGGATTTTTTCTTTCCCTCCCATCCCATTAGACAAAGTAAGAAAATATAAAATACAATAGGGACCACAATATAAGTGGGTGTACACCAATAAACTTAAATATAAATTGTATAATTATATATGAATATTATATATAAATATAAAAATTATATATATATAGGGCTCGAATAGGCTCGCCAGCCTAACGAACCGAATTGTATACTATTTGAGCTTGACTCAATTAATAAATGAGCTCGATACTTAGGCTCGAATTCGGTTCGAAGCTTGGTCTGGACTGAGCCAGCCCGAACTCGAATAGCTCGTGAAAAGTTCGATTCGCAACCACCCCTAAGTACAAGGTACCTATTGAGAATATTTCGATAACTTTAATATGTTTTACTAAATGGCTATAATTCATAAGTTTTACATTTTCATTTTATGCTCAAAATGATGAAATGCCTCAGTTTTTTTTTCTTTGGAACTGTACGACTAAACCTGGCCATAGGTTATTGGACTTTTATACATTACGGTGAGATTAATGAGTGTGAATAGAGCATAGTACACGTGAGGTCACATAGAGCCTTTATATGAGTTTGATCTCATGTCGGATGCTGAGTGATCATGGTCAGCATTGGACTAGATATGGTTAACGAAGAATTCATACAAACCTTATTTGATTAAAGCCATATTTGATATACTCCATTTTCTCTTTCTAGACCCCAAATTGATCATATCGGCATCATATTCCAGAAATTTGATTCATTTTGTACCCTTTAGTCAATGATTTGTTTTCCAAAAAATGTAGAAATATGGGATTATTTTACAATTCTAATTTGTAATCAAATATTTTAGCATTTTTATGTTAGGATTATATTTTATATTAGGAAAAATCTATGATGCAGAAAAGATGTGGTATGGGAAGAGTTTTGATCAATCAAAATCCACCCATGAATTTTGATATATAACACCTGATTGAATTGGCTACCACGTTTATGATTTCAGTTGACTAGTCATAAATTTTTCAAATATAATATCTTTTCCATATCATAGTCGAACCCTTTATATTATTAATCTATATTATTTCAATAACACTTTGGTTTTAGAAGAGAAATAAATGATTGAAATCCCAAAACATTAGAAGAAATCATGAAATATTGGTTGAAATAAATATCCCATTGTATTTTGATCAGAATAAACATATTTTGCAAATGACCCAATAGTTGAGATGCCCAGTCGTTGCCCCTCCAAAATGGAAGTGGATGTTCGAATATGCAAAACTGTAGGCTCCATGGTATGGTCAGTGGACCTCAAATCAGTCTTCCTTTCTCCCCACCAAGAGTCCCCTACAATGGGTATTGTACTGTTGTGTAATACAAAAAATGGGTAAATTGATGAAACCTCCTCTTAAGTTTTTGGTTATTGCTGAAACCTCCCCTGAAGTTTGATAACTGCAATCACCTCCCCTAAACTTTATGACATAGTTACAAGTAGACCCCTTTTGTTAAAATCTGTACTATTTACAAAAGTACAATAGTTATGTGGTTGGTTTCTGAAATTTTTACTAGACTAAAATACCTATCTCTAATGTTTGAATCATAGAAGGAGCAGTGGTGAATATGTAATTTTGTTTTCCCATTTAATTCCCGTCAGGAAATGACTTTTCTTTCTCATTTAATTACAAAAAAAGGGTAAAATACAAAAACCTCCCCTGAGGTTTCTGACAATCATAAAAACCTCCCCTATAGTTTTATTTTAGCCTCCCCTGAACTTTTTAGAAACTCGACAAAAGCCTCCCTTCCACCACTATCCCAGATGGAAAATGTTAGACCGATGCACCAGTTTTTTTCCAAATATCCATTCTACCCTTTTATAAATTATTTTGCATACAAAATTATTGAAATAATCCCATTTTAACTCAACAAAAATACATATTTTAGTAATTTTGTATGCAAAATTACTGAGATGATCGTTAAAGGAGGTTTTTGTTGAGTTAAAATGGAGTTATTTTAGTAATTAATTTTGTATGTAAAATAATTTATAAAAGGGTAGAATGGGTATTTGGAGAAAACCAGTGCATCAATCTAACGTTTTCCATCTGGGACAGTGACGGAAGGGAGGTTTTTGTTGAGTTTCTTAGAAGTTCAAGGGAGGTATTTGTTAAAATGAAACTATAGGGGAGGTTTTTATGATTGTTAGAAACTTCAAGGGAGGTTTTTGTATTTTAACATAAACTTCATTCTTTTTGTTCATAATTGTAAAACAAGTCAATGGCAATAATGTTATTTAACATTCCCATTTAATGCTTGATAGGGAAAATACACAAAAATCCCTTTCAATAATTGGAAAACAAATCATGGTAATTGTTGAAACCTCCCTTGAAGTTTTTAATCATTGCCCAAACCTCCCTTGAAGTTTTGTAATTGCAATCACCTCCCCTAAACTTCATGACATAATTGCAAGTAAACTCCCTTTGTAAAATCTTCTAACAAGAGGCATGAAAATGTCTAAAATGCCCATGTAATTATTATTGAGGTTGTTTTATACATAAAAAATCATATAAATGTTATGAACAATAAAAAAAGAGAGTTTAAAGTTGCAATTTTACCTTTGAGCAATATGAAGGACATTTGGAAAATACATCAATTCCAAAAAAGAGATTAGAAGGGATTGAGGTAGTGATTGATATGAAGAAAAAATTGGAAAGTAAACATTTTGGTCAAAAATAACTACATGGGTATTTTGGACATTTTTGTGCTTTTTGTTAGAATATTGTAACAGAGGGTCTACTTGCAATTGTATCAAAAAGTTCACAGGAGGTGATTGCATTTACCAAACTTTAGGGGGGTCAACAATGATAAAAAAATTTATGAGAAGTTTTAGAAATTTACCTTTTCATTTATTTAAATTAAAAAAACTAAAAGTACATCTTATGTTCTCCATAGCCAATGTTATGCCACATTAACCACCATGAAGAGATTTTCAACTTGCAAATGGATGAGCAATTTATTCTTTAAACTATTTTCATTGGTTCAGTTCTTGATCATTAAGTTAGCAGATGGTTTTCTCTTCTTTATTCCTACCGTATGGTGGGTTAATTTTTCATTTCCATTAACTTAAAGCCCACGTCATTGGATGAAAAGATATGAGTAAGTGATATTTTTTATAGCATCTCATTGTAAGGTTTTCAATGGTTGAAGTTGAAGGAGCTGAAGTTGGATTTATCATATAGAAGTTAATTCTTGCAAAGGTAACAAAAATTCAAATAAAATTCTAACGAAGGTACCTGATAAAAATTATTAATTTTATTAATGAACCATAATAAATAAGAATAATAAGAATTTTATTAATGATAAATAAAGAATAATAAGAATTTTATTAATTCTCGTTACCATTGCAAGAATTTCATTTGGACATATCTTTATATTAATGAACCATAATAAATGTGATAAATAAGAATAATTTTTATAGATGTAGAAATATAAAAAAATTGAAAAAAATATATTATATACTATCATCAT